GCTTAACCTGAACATCAGTATGCATTCAGCCAATTTTTATGAATCAACACTGTTTGATTTGACTGTTTTACCTGTTAAGATATTTGCCAAGACTATCCCAGATTCCTCTCCAGAAATTTTTGATTGTAGATGCGAGCTTGCTAAGATTCTCAGGTGGCTACTGGAGACATACCTGGAGAAACAGTGTCACAGTTTCAGACCAGGCATGAAACTGGACATTACAGTATTTCTGCAGTGTTTATGTTTGTTACCTGGTTTCGGTATAGCCCATAATCAGTTACTGCCTGAGTGACAGACAATATTTCAATTTTCCTCTGAGATGGCTAAGCTGGAAAAGAACCTTGTCTCTTAGCCCTGGCTCTCATGCATTTGGACTTTGGCAGACTATATCTGATAGTACTTTGCTGGACTTTAAGGATAGCAATATGATTGATGGCTAAAAAGACACAAGAAAAATAAGGATTTCTGTTACTGACCTTCCAGTGACATTGTTGGAAAAGAGAGTGATAAATCAAGCTGCATGTGAAGACTATGTACTTAACTTATGTTATATTCTATAGTGCCTTTGAATAAATATTACCAGACAATTATATGACTCAGAAATTATTTTACATTTTTCCCTTTGATGGGAAGGTTGCTACTATTACTTTTCTTATTATTGTAATGATCTCTGTTAAACAATTCTATTTAACATTTCTGCAGGTCTGTGCGTTTTCAGAACAGACTCATTCTTTGTTCTGCCTTCTTTCCTCATCTTGCTTATTGTCCTGCTCCATAAATGACACAAGTGATTTCAATTAGCAGTTGTCACCAGCTGGTGGTGTACGTTGGTCACAAGTCCCATGACACTCGTGAGTCTTTGACCATTCCTTCCCACTTTGCTGGAAGCAAAAATTTTGCTGATCCTGTGTAACCATCTTTGGACCTAGTTCTTCCAGACAAGTGAAGGAGATTCCTAGAAGCACGCCAACACCCCTCAGCTGGTGAGCGTGTTTGCCACTGTTTGGGTGAGCCAGTACATCTTGCTGGATGCAATATCCCCTGGGAAAGAGGAGTCTTGAAATCGCTCTTTAGTGATGGACAAGCTTTGAGTGTGAAGTAAAAAAAAAAAACCCACGATTGTACTAGAATAAAAAGCTTAAGAAACCATCTTCTGTGCTTTGTGAAGATGCAGAATAATAGCACATAGTTCACTACACAGACACACTGCTTTGGCTAGTTTCTGTCTTCTGCTGACCTGGTTGTCGTGATAGTCATGCTACCTCCCAGGACCATTCACACAGCTCCTAGATCTGTGATCTGGATTTTAGGACTTTTTGTCCATGCGTAGTTTTCTGGTTCATGGTTTCTCTCTTCTATGGTTTAGGATGAGAGCTCTTCCTTATATCTTGTTTACTAAGCTATGACTGCCAAAAATTAGCAACCTTAGTATTTGGCAATACCGTTATCAAACTCTTTCCTTTCTCTGTGAATGAAAATATTCCTCAAGCTTTTTACACTGTTGTATACATTTAATATTTTATAACATATACTTTATATACCACATCTTACACAAAAAGGTCAAACAATGAATGTATTTATCAGTACCTCTTGACAGAAACTGTTTAATGGCAAATAGTCTGTCAGTGCAGTGTATTTGGTTCATAAACATGGCTTAGTGGGTGAGGGTGAACAAATAGGGCTGTCATGGTTTTCTGTAAGCATCTGTACAATAAAATACCATAGAATACATAGAACATTCTGCCAAGACAAAGTTCCTGAAGCACTTCTGTTTTCTCCAGGGAAGCGCTCTTTTCTTAACTGCCACCATAAGAGGATCTTAGATATGTCTCTGCTCAGGTTCTCTCAGTGGTCCAGCCTAGCAGCTATACTTGAAGCACATCTGCCCAACATGTGCTGACAGAGAGTTTAACATTGATCATAGCAGCTATAACCACTTTCCCTCAAAATCATGGTCTGAAGTGATAAATTTGTTGTAATTTATATAATAATGGTATCCACAAGGACCTCCCCTCCTCCCCATCCCTGCTCTCGGGACTGATTCTGTTGATGTGGGGGGGTTGATTTTGATGGTACTGCGCATAAGCTCTTCAAGGGTCTTACCCAGAAAGAGAAGGAAGTTCAGGAGTAAACAGGAAAAACTCAGACTTTGCCACAGTCTGTTTTCATAAGAAGGAACATACCCTTAGGGAAACATGAGAAAAAGTGGGGTACAGGGGAAAGGCAGGCAGAATTGAATGGGCTGATAAATTTGGAAGTTAGAAGCAGTGAGTGATAAGCGTAACAGCTTCTGTTGTGAACAGGATGGGTATCATCAGCTCAGAATCATGATTTTGAAACTGATTAGGAAGGCTGAAAGCTCAGGAATAAGTGATAGATCTCTCTGAGTTCACTTCTTATGTGTCTTTATGGAGAAGTTAAGCTTAAAAAGAAATAATCTGTTTGTTTTGCAGTGATGACTTTGCTGTTGTGCATAGCATAGAGAGATTTGATTTCAGAAGCATGATCCTAAATGTCCATTAGTGCAGCTATAATAAACATTTGTCTGTTTATTCCTTAAGCAGCATGTTTCCTAGAGCTATTCCTCTTGTTCCTTTTTCCATACTTTCTCATGTCAATCAAATTATCACTAATAATAATAACAAATCCCATTAGGAACTAATTACATATAAGCAACTTCAAGCTGGTTTACCTATTTGCTAACATTATGTCCAAGATTTTTAACTGCAGTCAATCCAGTTTGCTTCTGGCTCCATTAATTATGGTTACACATCTTCACAAAGTACTAAGACCTAGAACTTGTCTTGATGATATTCTGCTGCTTCAGAAATAAGAAAGACCTATGAAAAGGAGTAATTTCTAGTTAGCTTGCTTTCTCTGTCTTCAGATGTGTTGAACTCTGTCTGCCCCCCACGCTAAGAGCACCACCATTCTCATTTTATATCTGCTCAGTTCCTGAGTGACACAGTGCGCTCCTCAAGCGATCTTATTCTTCTTGCTTGACTGTGTGCTGTAACTGGAGTTGAGAACAGAGCCTTGCTGACACAATGTAGACAAAGATGACATGAAGCAGACTGGAGAGTGGATCATCATAAGGACATAGGATAGATACTTTTGAAAGCCGTTACATGAACTCACTTCTTTCCCGAGAACGTGAAGGGAACAGGGTGTAATTCTTCCAACAGAGAGTGCGAAAACCAATGGCTTGCATGGATGTGGTGCACCTTGCAAGGAAACTATGGGTTTAGACCGTACCAAACCCAACAATCTATTGCAAATATTGTAGCAAAGTAGTTTTTATATGCTGTTACAACTGAGATCAACATTTATATCAACATGTATGTATTGGTTCATTTCCATAATAACATGTGTAATTTTCTTTGTTTGCTATATGCATGCATCCCTTCCCCAGACGGTGATGGAAATTAAGGGGAACATTTGCAACCAACAAGGAGGAAAAATAGTCTGTGAAAATATATCGTACTGTAGCCTATGTTAAATTGAAGCTTGTGGGATCCAACTTGCTGACTTTTAAGTGTTTAATGAAAACAGAATCATTATCTCCTCTCTAGGCAGGTAGAGAACTCCTCTGGGATTTAAACACATGCATCAGGAGAAGAGTACACCTGTGTTTAAAAGAAAATGAGTGCAAATCCTAAAGCTTGATGTTTCCAGTACTCAGTTTTAAAAAGCAGCTTTCAAATGTCTGTATTGCACTTTACTTGTAAAGCTATTAATTTAAAAAACCTTCCTGAAACCCTGC